AGAACTGGCTCTTGGATTCATTTCAGAATGATAAATGTTTTTCAACTCCACCATTTTCTTTTGCTCACTCTATAGCTTTCCCTTTAAAAAAAAATATTTATTTGGGAGACAGAGAGCACAAGCAGGGGAAGCAGCAGAGGGAGAGGGAGAAGCGGGCTCCCCACTGAGGAAGGAGCCCGACATGGGGCTCGATCCCAGGCTCCTGGGATCATGACCTGAGCCGAAGGCAGCCACCCAGGTGTCCCCACTTTAAGTGTTTAATCCATCTAGTGTCCACATTGTATATGATACTAAGTTGGAATCCACTTTTATTTTTTTTCAGTTACTCAGTTTTCACACCACCATGTAGTAAACAATCCATTCTTTCCTTTTATTTTTAATGCCATCTTTATTATTAATGTGTCATATATAAATAAGCACCGTCTGAATCTTCCATGCTGTTCTACTGGTCTATTTGTCAGTTCTGATTTTACTGTTGTAGTTTGGCAGTATGTCACTATTTGGTAGGGCAAGTCTTCCTGCTTGGTTTACTTAAGTCTCTATAGTATACCCTTTTTTTCTTTCCCTGTAAATTTTAGGGGGAAAAGTATATTGCATTCCTCAAAAAAATCCAGTTGGAATTTGGGGGTATATTGAATTTAATTCAACCCATTCAAGAACATGGAAGGATGCATCTCCTTTTATTTAGGTCTTCTTTCTGCTTATTCTAATTTAAATGTTATCTTCAAAGAGTTCTTATATTCTTGGCTTAGTGTTTTTGTTTTTTTGTTTTGCTTTTTGTGAATGGTGTCCTCTTTTCTAGCAGTTGATTGCTGATACAGTTATGCTTTATTGTATCTGGTAATTTTGCTGAGCTCTGATAAGTTTATGGTTTATCTGTTTTTCTAGGTAGATTGCCACAATATATGCAAATAGTTACATTTTTTGTTTTTACTTCTAATCTTTATGCCTGTTGTTTCATTTTCTTACAGTATTTGTCAGATCTTTGGTACTGTGTTGAAAGCAATGGTGATGGTAGTCACTCGTACCTTGTTTACCATAATAAAAGGAATACAAAGTTTGTCCATTCAGCTTAATGTTTGATATAGGTTCCTAATATGTAACCTTTACCAATTGAGAGGGTTTTTAATTCCTACTTTGCTAAAAGTTTTTAAAGACCATATAAAGGTGTTGCATTATAAACTTTATCACATGATTTCTCTTCATCAGTTAATTATGGTTTTCTTCTGTAGTCTATTAATATAGTAAATTATGTTGATAGATTTTCTCATATGAACTGTCCTTCCTTCCTATAATAAACCATGCTTGATCATGATGCATATTTTTAATATATTTCTGAATTCAATTACCTAATATTTAGGATTTTTATAGATTTATAAAATTTACAAATGGGATTCTAATCTAACTTTTTTGTATTGTCTTTATCTGGTCTTGGAGTCAAGATTACACTAGTCACATAATGAGCTAGCAATTTTCACTTTCTATTTTCTAAAACAATTTGGTTGTAATGGTAATTAACCGCTAATAGAATGTTTGCTAGAACAATAATACTTATTGCATAGCAAATTACATTTAGCAGTTTAAAATAACACACATTTATTATGTCACTCAATTTCTAAGGGTCAGGAAGCTGGGAGCAGCAATAGCTGTGTGGTTCTGGCTCAGGGTCTCCCATGAGGCTGCAGTCAAGCTGTCAGCAAGAATGCAGACACTGGAAAGCTTCACTAGGGCCAGAGGATCCTCTGCTAAGATGGTTTTCACTCATGTGGCTGTTGGCAGGATGCCTTATTTCTCACTGAGGACAGAGGCCTCAGTTCCTTGCCACATGGCCTCTTCACAGGACTCCTAAGTGTTCTCCCCACATGGAAGGCAGCTTCTCCAAGAGTGAGTGAGCTAAGAAAAAGGGCAGGGAGGAAGCTGCAGTACCTTAAGAACTAGTCTTGAAAGCTGCACACCATTACTTCTTCCCTTCTGTTTTTTTATATAATATTCATCAGAAGTGAGTCCTTCAGTCTAGCCCACGCTCAAAGGGTGGGGAACTGGCTACACCTCTTGAAGGGAAGGGAATCAATAAATTGTGGACATATTTTAAAACCACCACAAATAAGATAGACCTATATGTACTGAAATGTGAAGTTGTACATTATATATTATGTGAAAAATGCAAACCAGGGTTGTTATGTCTTTGTTAAGAAAAAAATGTCAGTGGGGTATGTATATTTGTGGGTATGCCTGAAAAAAAGTCAGAAAGGACTGAGTAAAAACTATCCTTCACTAAGCCCTAGTGAAGCTTTCCAGTGTCTCCAAGTTATTTGTGGAGGCTAGGCCTTCAGTTTTTACTTATATTACTTCAGAATTATTTAAAAATTTTATGAATTTCTTTTCAGTAAGAGCAACTAGACCCAATCTCTAGTATATATTTTTAAGATTTATTCATTTATTTTAGAGAGAGAGAGAGAATGCATGAGCAAGGGGAGGGATAGAGGGGGAGAGAGAATCCTCAAGCAGACTCCCTGCTGAGCAGTAGCCTGAGGTGGGCTTGATCCTAGGACCCAGGGGTCCCGAGCTGAAATCAAGAGTTGTCCACTTAACTGACTGTGCCACCCAGGTGTCCCTCTAGTATAATTTTTTAAAGAAATTCTTAAATATTTAAAAAAAAATAAAGCCAATAACAGGCTGAGTTTAATTTTCTGTACTTCTTACAAAATAAGGAACCAGTGAGTTCATTTCTGTTCTGTTCTGACTCCAGTATTCAGTCCTACAGTCTGGGCTTCTAAGCATCCCATTTTTCTTTTCTTATTTTATTTATATTTTCATTTGTATGTGTTAAAATAGACGTATATTTTAAGTTTTTAACATTTATTTTATAAACATTTAAAAATAGCATTGAATTTTCTCATTCTTGAGTTTTTTTTTTTTTAAGATTTTATTTATTTATTTGAGAGAGAGAATGAGAGATAGAGAGCACGAGAGGGAAGAGGGTCAGAGGGAGAAGCAGACTCCCTGCTGAGCCGGGAGCCCGATGTGGGACTCGATCCCAGGACTCCAGGATCATGACCTGAGCCGAAGGCAGTCGCTTAACCAACTGAGCCACCCAGGCGCCCTCATTCTTGAGTTCTTATTTGTGGTTAGTACTTCATTGTTTAGGCATGGATTTTCATGTAGTTTATTTGGAAAGCAGTACCTGGGTGGTGTATTTTGAATCCTTGAACATTTCAGTACATCTTCCCATTGTCCTTTTGTTAACACAATAAGGACGTACATGGAAATTATTTACAACCCTTTACCAAGTTGTTTTTGACTCCTCTGACTTCGACTTAGTAGGTACGCCACTATTTTGTAACTGCATGACCTTGTACAAGTTACTTAATCTTGTTAAATGTTGGTTTCCTTATTCCTTTAGTGTTGATAATTCTACCTTATAGGATAGTTGTGATAATGAAATAACAGCCCTTTTCAAATAACTTCTTGATAATATTTAACTGCTATGATTATACCGATTGATAGCTATGATATTCTAGTTTTCCTCCATGAAAAGTATCTTTTTTCTTTATTCATAGTATTTACTAAACATTTTTATTGAACTTTAGAATTGAGAATGTCATCAAAGAAATTAAAAGAATTTGTCACATAACCAATTTATGAGCTGTTCTCTCCACTAAAAGTATTTTTAGGCAGTTTGAATACATATATTTATCTCTTCTTTCTAAAACTTCATGATGATAGTAAGAAACTAAAAACTGTATGAACCTGCAATGATGAAGTAAAGAGCCATCAGCAAATGAGGAATTTCTACAAAAACTTGGAAAGGTTACCTGGGTGCCTCAGTCAGTTGGGCGTCTGGCTCTTGATTTCAGCCTAGGTCGTGATCTCGGGGTGGTGGGATCAAGCCTCACCTCAGGCTCCACACTCAGCCCAGAGTCTGCTTGGGATTTTCTCTCCTTCTTCCTCTGCAACCCCACCAACCCCCACGTGTACACTCATTCTCTCAACAAATAAATATATAAATAAATAAGTAAAACAAAAAACAACAAACAACCCAAAACTTGGAAAGCAACAGGAGCAACAGTGATAAGAACCGCAAAGGGCTAAAAACGTGACATCCTGGAATGCTCCACAGGGGAATAAGCACAAGAAGGATTTGATAAGCCCTGTGAACTTCAGGGAAGCTGAGGATGCATCCATACCACTGGAGGCCGAGGGCCAGTCAAAAGAGGACCCTAAAATATTTCCAGAGAGCAAAGAAAAAGTTGCTTGCAAAGGAATTAGAGTTAAAAAAAAAAAAAAAAAAGGTCTTAGAAACAACAGTGAAGGCATATGAACAGTGAAGCAATTCTGAGAAAAATTCTTTTCACTCTAGAATTTGATACCCAGCCACTTGTGAGTGATGATAAGGACTTCAAGCATACAGTGTAACCATGCTTGGAGATTCTCCTTTAAACCAAATGTGTGTCCTGAAGAAAACCTTGCCTGTTTCTCACTTTGCTTTTTTTCAGTGGCCATGGAATTAACATAAGCTTGACTGAACTCATTTGGGTGTATACCTCCCAATTAATGGAGTAAATCACAAAAGGGGAAGAAGTACATGATCTTGAAAATGGAGCACTAAAGAATAGCCAGCCCAGATTGGAGCAGGAGGATGAACACTTCCAGAATAAAAAGGGTTGGGGGATCAATTGACTTAATCTTTTTCAATCATTACTTGCTAATTTTTAAAATTGGGATAATAATGGTATCTACAAGAGAGGGTGGCTGTGAGGACTACTTGAAATATATGTGAAGTCCTTAGCCCAGTGGTTAGCAGACAGATGCTATATAAATGTTTCTGATGACTGTGATGGGCTTCAGTGACTGGATACATTATTTAGCCATCCCTGTGATTATGTCTCCTCTTAACCTTTCTTGTTTTTCTTCATTATTGAAGTTCTTTCTTTTTTTATTTCATTTGTCACTTATGTTACCTGCTGAATGGCTGTTTCTTTGTCCATCTTCTCCCTTAGATCTCTTCTTCCTGGAAAACCTGATCTTTGACCAGATGGCAGTAACATTTGAAGATGTGACTGTTATTTTTACTTGGGAGGAGTGGAAATTCCTAGATTCTTCTCAAAAAAAGCTCTACAGAGAGGTCATGTGGGAGAACTACACAAATGTCATGTCAGTAGGTAAAGTTATCCCAGCTCTTAGGTAATAGAATTAGTTTCTTCTGGGACCAGTTTTGTTGAGTATTTTGGTTCTTTATCTAGGTATTGTATTGAGATAGAAGAAATACGACCCTCAGAAATGGGTCATAAATCGGATGACAGAAGGTAGAGCAAGACCTCTCCCAAGACACCTAGGCTATGTAATTAATAGGTATTTGTGATTTTTATTCTTATTTATTTTCTGGATTACACTTAAAATACAGATCTCCACACGTAATCAATTTTGTGTGGTCCTAAATTTGTTCTCTCTTCATACTATTTATACAAGTTAGCTTTTGCTGTATAACAAACTACCCCAAACTTAGTGACTTCAACATTATTTTTCATGATTCTAATTGGTTAGATGGATCTTCTCTCATAGAGTGATCTGACTGGGGCTCGATGGTCTAAGACGAGACTGGACTGTCTGACTTACATGTCTGGCAGTTGGTTGATATCAGTGGGGATAATGGGAATGTGTTGACCATATGTCCCTCTTCAAGCAGGCTAGCTCAGGCTTGTTTACCTGGTGGTGGTCACAGGATTTTCTAGTGAGAGAGAGGGCAAGCCTCAGTATGCAAGCACTTTCAAGTCTCTGCTTGTATCACTTTTGCTATTGTCCCATTAAACAAAGCAAACTGTTAGCCAAGCTAAAGTCAGCATGGAAGGGGAACACCCAAAGGTACAGAGTTCATGCAGCCATTTTTTCACACAATCTGTCACACTCTGCTAGAACAGAAAAATAGAAACAATATTTTATTTCTTATAATAATGCCCCAACTAGAGTAACCTAATTAAATCTCAGTTTTTAAGATGATTTCCATGAAGCATTCAGCCTTACTTGTTTATTTCTAACAGTACTTGGTAAGTAGTAGATGCTCAAGATATATCTGTGGAATGACTGAATAAGTGAATGAATGAATACATATATGAATGAACAAACACATGAATTTCAGACCAGATATGGAGCAGCCTAAGTCATAATCCTTTCCCACTCCCACACACACATATATTCCTATAATTCTGGAAGTCGATACTTGAGATACTTGGAAATTTTTTAAAACCACCTTTATCTCACCAGTGGATTATCTGCTCATTCTTCTTATTCCAGGAAACTGGAAAGAGAGCTACAAACCCCAAGAAGAAGGATTCAGATATTTAGAACATGAAAATCTTCCCTGCTGGCAAGCCTGGAGGAATGCCAGTGCTCAGACATATGAGAATAGAAACTATGTGGAAACTGTCCAAGGAACAGATTCCAAAGACCTAAAGCAACGAGATCTTTCCCACCATCCAGAATGGTTAATACTCTCCACCCAAGTACCAAGATATGGGAACTATGAAATGACTTTTGAAGGTAAAAGTCCCAGGAACTTAAAATATACAAAGTTTATACCTTGGCAGTCCTTCGAAACAAAACATACCCCTCGACAGTATGCTAGAGAAATCAATGTGAATGATTCACACGGTTTTCAAGGAAGCAGATGCCCTCTTGGCATATCTAGGAAAAATCTCTCTCTGGAAAAAGAACAGAAGCTTATAGTTCAACATTCTTATGTCCCAACAGTAGAAACCCTTCCGGAGTACACTGGGGAGCTATGTCAACATGACCTACTGAAAAACTCTATGGAAGAGGAATACTGTGGATGTAATAAATGTAAAGAAATTTATTATTGGAACTCACAGTGTGTTCTCCACAAGAGAAATCAACGTGGAGAAAAGTTCTATCAGTGCTCTATTAGCACAGCATGCTTCTCTCAGAGATCAGACCTATACAGACATACAAGAATTCACATAGGTAAGAAGCTGTATGGATGTGATGAAGTTGATGGTAACTTCAGTCAAAGCTTAGGTGTTCACTTTCATCAGAGAGTCTGCACAGGGGAGGTTTCTTATATATGCCACGTGTGTGGTAAGAGCTTCAGTCAGATCTCTAGTCTTCACAATCATCAAAGAGTGCATACAGAAGAGAAACTCTATAAATTTGAGTGTAATAAGGACCTCAGTAGAAATTCATTACTTCACATTCACCAGAGACTTCACATAGGAGAGAAGCCTTTTAAGTGTGATCAGTGTGGTAAGAGTTTTAGTCGGAGTTCAGTACTTCATGTTCATCAGAGAGTCCACACAGGAGAGAAACCATATAAGTGTGATGAGTGTGGCAAGGGCTTCAGTCAGAGCTCAAATCTTCGAATTCATCAGTTAGTCCACACGGGAGAGAAGTCCTATAAATGTGATGACTGTGGTAAGGGCTTTACCCAGCGCTCAAATCTCCAAATTCATCAAAGAGTACATACAGGAGAGAAGCCTTATAAATGTGACGACTGTGGGAAGGACTTTAGTCACAGCTCTGATCTTCGTATTCATCAGAGGGTCCATACTGGGGAAAAACCCTATACTTGTCATGAATGTGGGAAGGGCTTCAGCAAGAGTTCGAAGCTTCATACTCATCAAAGAGTACATACTGGAGAGAAACCCTATAAATGTGAACAGTGTGGTAAGGGATTCAGTCAGCGTTCACATCTTCTCATTCATCAGAGAGTCCACACAGGAGAGAAACCCTATAAATGTGATGACTGTGGAAAGGGATTTAGTCACAGCTCTAATCTTCACATTCATCAGAGGGTCCACACAGGAGAGAAGCCTTATCAATGCACGAAGTGTGGCAAGGGTTTCAGTCATAGCTCAGCTCTTCGAATTCATCAAAGAGTCCACGCAGAGAAACCTCTTAAGTGCCATGAGTATTATAAGGGATTTGATCAGAATTCACATCTTCACAATAATCACACATGAGAAACCTTATAATTACATTTAGGTAACCGCTTTAATCAAAGCTTAACATTATCCCCAATAAATCCTACTGGGAAGAAAATTCTATAAATTACCCAAATAATCCCAAGCAACATTTATAGTTTCCCTCACCCCCCACTAAGAATCATTTGCTTCAAGAAGAAATCCTTAGGGGGATGCCTATATATTCAAAATGAAAGTGTATTTACTTTTTCTATTATATCATACATATCCATTATAAAATATCTGAAAGATTCAAGGAGAAAACTCTTCATCCTGTTTTATTCTAGCCTTTTTTTGTGCATTTTCATGTGTATGAAATCGTACTGTATATTCAACTCTGTATTTTCACTGACTTCAAAACATTTACTTACATTTTGTTTTAAATGGAAATTGGCTATCTATGAAACAGCACTCTGACTCCTCTGTAAAGTCCCTAGGAAGCCACAGGAAAAACACAAAACTTGAAACTCAAACTGGTAGATAACCTATTGCTCAAATGTGGAAGAATCAACTATAGGGAAGGACAATTCGATTGCTTATGACATAAGAAAGCACTGCATGACCCTTTATCTGAGATAGGATGTCTCACGGATGTTATCTCTGTCAACCAGAAAAGTCAGGAACCAAGGGACCATCTTTTGCAGGGGTGCTGCACTTTGAGGTTACCACGGTGCACTCTCACAACCCCCTCCCCAGGATTCCACATTGATTCACAGCTTCAGACAACCACATAACAAGAAGTCCAATATTTAATGTCTCTAAGTAGGGTGTGAAAGATGTCAGCAAAAGCTAATAGAAGTGGATCTTCAGGAAACTGAAGATACTCCATCTGTTCAGAATTAGAGATTTAAGCAGTAGACTGATTTATTCTCAGAACAGAGAGGTAACAGAGAAATAGAACTAAACTCAGATCTATGTGCAAAACTGAACTAATAACCTAATTATGGAAGAAGAGAGAATTTGACCATTGTAAAATGGAGTAGAGTCAGCTGGAATACACAAGTCCTAACTATTGTTATATAAATATTTATATATAAAAATTTATATATAAATATATAAAATATAAATATGTTTAGACATCACTGCCCAAGAGAAACTAAATTAAGTGGACTTGTTCAGGGAAATAACAGGGAATTGCAGTACTAAAGAAAGAACACCACCATGAAGAATTAAAACCCGATAGCCCTGAAAATTAGTTATTTCAGTCTCCTGAAGAAATTTTCAAAAAACTGGTGTCTTGAGTAGCATGACAGAAAACCTGAAATCAGTGAAACTAGAGCAGAAATCCTTAAGTAGAGAAGAGCCTATAAAATAAAAATAATGAAAAATGACTACAGGGAAATTTAAAATGGATCAAAGTGAAAGGCAACAGAAGCAGAATATCAAATACTGTAATGAATAAACTTGAAATGATCTTCAATGTATACAAAAAGGATAATGAGATGGAAGCAATGAAAAAATAGAGATAGGAAGTGCAAAGAATGGAGATCCAATGTAGGAATTAAAGGTGTTTCTAAGGAAGATAAAAGAATGTGGAATAGAATCAATGATCAAAGAAATTAAGACATTTTACCTGAACTAAACGTATATATGCTCACTAGATTTTAGGCAAAACCAATATAAAAAGCATGCTTAGGAACAGCTTAGGGAAAAGAACAATTGAAAGCATGCAGAAAGAAAAATTCTGGTTATCTACAAAGCCAGTGAAAAGAGAATGGATAAAGAACTTAAAAAGTAAATGTCAAAAGATGGTGGAACGACACCTTCAGAATTGTGAGATTAAAAAACCCATTATCACCTATGGTATTTTTTTAATCAACTAAATTGTCATTGTCTAAATTGTGCAGGTAACAGATTAGATAAGAAAACAGGAAACATCATACATTGTTCCTTTTTTTTTATGTTCAGTTAGCCACCATGTAGTACATCACTAGTTTTTGATGTAGTGTTCAATGATTCATTAGTTGCATATAACACCCAGTGCTCATCACGTTCTTTTTTTTTTAATTTTTTTTTTTTTTTATTCATGTGACACAGAGATAGAGAGGCAATATGAGCAGGGGAGAGAGGCAGAGGGAGAGGGAGAAGCAAACTCCTCACTGAGCCAGGAGCCTGATATGGAGCTCAGTCCCAGGACCGAGATCATGCCCTGAGCTGAAGGCAGACACTTAACCATCTGAGCCACCCAGGCGCCCCTACATGTTCCTTTCTTAAAGAGAGCTCAAGAATGTGGAAATTACGGCCTAAAACTGGTAATGAGCACTAACATCAGTTAAACAGAGTAACTGTTAATTTGTTTACAAAATGTCCAAAATTTTATTTTTTTATTTTTATTTTTTTTAAAGATTTTATTTATTTATTTGAGAGAGAGAGAATGAGAGATACAGAGCACGAGAAGGAAGAGGGTCAGAGGGAGAAGCAGACTCCCCGCTGGGCAGGGAGGCCGACGCAGGACTCGATCCCTGGACTCCAGGATCATGACCCGAGCCGAAGTCAGTCGCTTAACCAACTGAGCCACCCAGGCGCCCTGTCCAAAATTTTAAATAGCTGTGCAAAAAAAATATTTAATATACAAATGCTGAGTATAAAAGCAGATTATATATAAATGCCTGAGAGGGAGACTATGACTGTCAGACAAAATACACGAGTTTAGACTTCAGATCTACAATGAATATTTTTTTAATATAAGTATATCCCAAATATTGAACGGGACTTACACTAAGAAATTATTTGCTTATATGAAATTCAAATTTAATTAGGCATCCTGTGTTTTTATTTGGAAATCCGGCAACCCTATGGGGGTAAGAACAGCAAAGGAAAATGTGCTACATTTCTGATCTTAAATAGCAGGGACTCTACATCTTCTTTAACAATTGAAGAAATAAAGGTGTAAAAAATATTTTTTTACAAAGTTAGAAATTGCAACTAATAGAACTAAAGCACATATGCCTTTCAAAACAGGAGAAAATAAAAATAAAGACTATTTAGTCCCTATTAGCAAAAGACAAAAGAATTAAAGCAAAATGATATTAATCAGTAATGATTGATTGCTCAATATTAATTTACTGATTAATTTTATTGATATAAAAGAAAAGGCAAAAAAATAGGCGAAGGTTTATTATACAAACATAAGGGAGTGCCTACAATGTTTTTAAAAGTTAATAAAAATTAACTAAACACATAAGGTTTACTCATAAAAACCAGTAGTTTCCTAAATTCTTGCTATAATCAGAAAATATAATGGGTAGAAAAATGTATGGTTTATAATAACAAATTTCTAAAAAAGAACAAGTAAAAATATAGATGAAAATAAATGAAAATAAAAGAGGACTTGCATAGAGAAGTCTTACAAGTTTTTTTAGAGGAAATGTTCCTAAGTTAATCTATAGATTTCAAATTTCATCAAAACTCCAATGAGATTTGAAATTTTAAAAAAAATCTAAAGTCTTTTAAGAAAAACAGACATTGGAGAAGAGCAAAGATAATTTGTAAGATCAATGAGATTGCCCTAAAATAAAAAGTAAATGATATACTGAAATTAATGGAGAACTTGATTGTACATTTGAAAAACATGTTCAAAATGCTCGGTAAATCACTTAGAAACAGACCAGCAGATGGATAACATGTAATAACATTTTTAGTATATATGCATATATACTTTACATATTAAAAAGATCTATGAATAGGAAAAGGATTATTCAGTAAATGGTGCTAAGAAAATGATTTAACTCTTTGGTGAAAAACAAAATTGGGCTTTCATGACATACATCGTATATATATTGTTCTAGTATCTATTAATTAAAGCACAGGTTTTCAGGCAGACTTCCATGAATCTCCATGTGGTTTCATGAAGGCTGGTGTGTCAGAAATGAACTACAAATTTAACCCCATTTTTATCTGATTCATATTCAAGATTAGCATAAGATTTCTTTCTAAAGAAGGTTGTTCTGCTTTAACATAAATATTTAAATTCACCAAAGTGGGTTTTTATATGGTTGAAAACATACATACACATATGCATTTTTTGAAAATTAGATAAAAAGGAAGAACTCAGAAAAAATACCTAAGAATTTGGCCACATAAAATTTTCTAAACTGTAGGTGAAAAACATGGAAATCAGACAATAGGAAAAATATGTCATGATTATGACAGTTAAGAACTTTTATAAATTAATAAGGAAGATGGACATCTAAAAATTGGCAAAGGACATCACCAGATTAAAGCAATAAAATACCACTTCTATTAATTATAATAGCTATTTTCAGTGAGAGTACAGAGTGATCGACACGTATACACTACTTACAATGAGGATATATTGATAGACTCTGGAAAGCTATTTGGCTAATCATAAGCCTTAAAATTGTTCATATTTCTGACTGATTTCATGTCTAGGCATATATTTTTTGGAAATAGCTTACACATTATTAGAGCAATTCTATTTCCAAAGAACAAAGACCCACTTAAGTTATGTAATTCAAAAATAGAGCTATATAACATTCATGTTTTAAAATCTCCCAGAAAAAATCCAAGGACAGAAACTTTCATATGGGAACTTGCTCTAGAAAGCCATTAGACAAAGCCACTCTCAAAAACTTGTTTCTCTTTCAGTAGCCTCTCCTCTCTACATACTGACCTCCTGTTTACTTACTCTGCAGGTCTGGAATTGCCACCACATCCATGAATATATGTTTTTAAATTCTATTGCCTACCACTGATTTGTAACTTCCTTCTGGGTCTCTATTCACATTTCTGAGTGGGGGGAGATGATTGGCTCAATTTTCATTACTACCTCTACACAAGCCTTAGAGGCCAGGCTAAACCACAGGCTACTGGGAAGCCTTTGGATTGGCTAGCTTTGTATCAAATGTTCACTCTGGTCCCTTCAGACATGCCCAGGGATGGGATAATAAGGCATATAACATGGCCCTTGAGGGCTCATGTTCCAAGAGATTTCCCCAGAAAGTGGCAGGTTTAAGCCTTCTGAACTACATTAGAACACACAAAGATAAATAAATGTTCAAGATATTTATTGCAGTATTTTTTATGCTGCACTCCCCACCCCCAAATAGGGGAAAGGTCCTATATGTGTAATGTTATGCAGTCATTCAAACTTGTATTTTCCAAGAATATTGTAATGATAATATACTTATGGTGTTAATTGAAAACAAGATATAGAACTGTATATGGGTAAGATTCTATTTATAATATATATATATTTATATAGATATTCCCACGGGGAAAAGTTGGAGATTATATATATATGCATATATATATATATACACAAAAAAATGTTACTAGTCGATCTATTTGATAGGATGGGTTGTGGCTATCTTTATGTTCTTCATACTTTCCTGTATTTTTCATATTTTTATTGGTGTTTTATTTTCATAAATAAAATCACATTTTTACATACAACTTATTTAAAATGCTAATGATTACATGATATTCCATTGTGTTACTGTACCATAATGCTTACTTATTTCTATATTATCAGGGATTCAGACTTTTCATTTTTATATCAAGAATTTAACTGCCATGTCATCGTGTATGAAGTTTCCGATTATTTTTGTCAACTTTTATAATTTTCTACATTCAATTATTGGATTGAAATATAGGTCACAGAAGTGTAATTTGTGCAAAGAAATGAAATCATGAAAATAAATGATGTAGACGACTGGCTACAAGTAGCCTGACACAGATGGCATATGAAGTGTGAAATTGGAAGGAGAGGTTAGAGGATGGCCCGATCATGAAGGACTTCCTGAGTCAAGTTAAAAAAATTTGTTAGTCATGAAGAAACAAAAAATCTTAAAGGAGGGTGCGATACTATCGTTTTGGAAAGATGACTTTAACAACAGTGTGGAGATTGGGTATGTTGTAGAGAGAGGGGAAGAGAATGAGCAAGAATGGAGGCCACAAGACCATTTAGTACACCACTAGGTGGTGTCATTGAGTTTTGACAGTAGGAGATAGTTGCCTTTTTTAATTGTTCGTTTT